CAAAGACAACATACGCGCTTTCTGAAGGGGAAGTTCTAACTTCTGTCAAAGACAACACACACGCTTTCTGAAGGGGAAGTTCTAACTTCTGTCAAAGACAACACACACGCTTCCTGAAGGAGAAGTTCTAACTTCTGTCAAAGACAACACACACGCTTCCTGAAGGAGAAGTTCTAACTTCTGTCAAAGACAACACACACCAGCTTTCTGAATTGGGAAGCTTGAAATGTCAGAATCCAAGTTCATGATGGTGTATCGGATCTATCACCTGCAGGTAAGATTTGTAAGATGATCCATGTACAACAAAATCATTATCAAGTTTAGATTTTACAAAAGTTTTGTAAAACTGGAGTCTGTTTTCCGGTTTGCTATCCAACAAGTGCTTGCCACAACTCGCATTAGATCTAGGACACTTTTTTGGCATTTTTCCTTGAGGATGTAATATGCAGAAGGAAAGCTAATTCATGTCAAAAATAGGTGTTAAAAGTTTGCTCTTCTCTACCACAGGTACATAACAGCCGTCAAAATAGAGTTTGCGATAGTTGCAAATGATTGAGGGTCTAATAGCACTGCATTAATATAAAAAAAATGAAATATCTTAAGTCTGTAATTTCAAAAAGCTATGAAGCCGGAATAATTTGTATGGGTTTTAGTTTTGATTGCATTTTTTTTGGTTTTGATTTTTGGAAAATAAAATGCATTCGTGTTTCTGGAGAAAAGTTTTTTTTTTAAAACAAAAACGCTAAGTAATAACCTGATATTTATAAGACGGTGAAAAATAATAAAATGTTTACTCGAAATGGAGACTGTTTAACTTTAACTGCAGTTTTTTTGTTCTTTGTTAATCTTTGATATTTTAAATCTACGTGAAATTCAAATATGAAAACAAATTATTGCTTTTATTTCTATCTTTTTGTTTGGTTGTTGACTGGGTACATGACACAATATATGGGTTATTTTAACCATTAGGGTAATCATAATCCTGTCAAATTTGGGGCTCGGGGCGGCCGAGTGGTCCAAGGCACCCGCCTTCACAGATCGCCCGTATCTCACCTCCGCCGTGGATTCTAGTGTAGACTTAGCCAGCGTGGGTATGCGAGAAAGCTTGCCAGTAGCTGCTTGCCGTGAGCCAGTGGTATTCTAAGGATCTTTCTCGCTCAAATATACTATCCTATCAAATGCTGAAAGATGGCGTTTTACCCACAAACCAAAGCAAACCTCTTAATGTTCAAACTGTTCGATTGTAAAAAGCAAATAAATTAAATTTCGGAACATAGGATCGTCTTTCCCGTTCTCTCGGTGGGTCCGGATTTACGGCTAGTTGTGTCATATCGAATACAATCTATATTCAAACTTAGCATCGATCTACTTCTAAAATAATCATACACATTCGGTTTCATAAATTTTAAAACCCAATTGGAAATTTTGCTACTGCGTTTTTAAGCAACCACGTGGAGAAAAAAGTAAAAAGATAAAGACTGTCTTTAAGGCGATTTCTAAATAGGTTCAGAGGACATATGTTTGCTTTAGCTTTTTTTCTCCATCTCGTCTGCATCATGCACAGAAAGGGTGTCAAATACATATGGAAGCTTCCCAAGTTGACACTGTCTTTGGGAGATGCTCGAACATTTAGCCGCTCGGAATCTGTAAACAGTGCCCAATTACATCAATGCTTTTCAACGGAACAATTCTGGATTTGCCTACGACATTTCAAGATGTGTTTGTCCGATGATGACTTTGAAGACCAATTGTTTATAAGTTTATTCTGTTCTTCTCCTCACACAATCTATTACACTTGTAAGTGGTTTCAAAAAATGTTGTTGTTGTTGTGGGGCTTAATGCCATTTGCCATTTGTCAGCACACGACAGGCTATACATGGCGGCCAGTATTAATGGTGGAGGAAGAAACCGGGAAATCCGCGGAAAGAACCACCGACCCACGAAAAGCTACTGGCAAGCTTTCTCACATATCCACATTCGCCGAATGAAATAGCAACATATGGATATGAAAACTGATAACCAGGCAAGAGTGACCTGTTGATTTTCGTTTATTTATAATTGGCAAATAAATATCAAATAGGTGTGTGTCATACTCACATGAAGTAAATTTCCTGTCATATATTTGGGTTTATCAATGAAAAAAGACTACATCTTCAACACCGAAAGAGAATACGGATGATATTGTAGCGTGCACTGCGTATGAGAGATAAAGTGGATCTGCTGTAATAAGTTATAACTCAAGTTGTGACATGAACATATGCAAGCTTTTGCTGACTCAGCATTACAACAAAGAACCTGAATAATAGATGTGGGTGTACAGAGAATAATGTGTTGTTTCTTTTTAAAAAATATAAATCTTTTTTAAAAAAAACATACAACACAAACATTATTTTTATTCTTTACAAGAACAACCCCCGCCCCGCCACCCACCCCATTTTTAATGAAAAGAACATTCGTATATTACGCTATCTGATCATGATAGACTATATAGAAATATTCGAAATGAAACAGCTTAAAATGCTGTACTTCTTTGAAACATGACTTCATAAGTCATGCAATTATTGTGGCTGATAATGAAACTTGAAGAAAGAAAACACCTCAGTATTCTACTCTACCTGTAGGTGTTCAAACCAATTTACCTGTCAGTGTTCAAACAAATTTACTGCATAAATGAGTACTTTTTTCGCAAGTATGTAAACTATAGTTCTATTAAACCCAAATTGTTAATTCAAGGGAGTCAAATAAATCGAACGGCAGTCTCGTATTTTGCAAAATGCTCTCTTCTGACTTTAAATATAAGTATTAAGCTTTATAACAGTCTTCCACCTTGTCCATTAAACGTGCTTCTAAAATTCTTTTTTTACACAAAAATCACAAGAACGTTCACTTCAATACTTCTTACACCACCTTGCTTTATCACAGCGATACGATCAAAGAACATTTCTAAATAATTCTCGAAAACTAGATCTGCTGTTTTCTCTTCTAATCTGAATTATGCTGGGAATCAGCAGAAAAGCAAAGTAAATGGATTCAAGTATATTTGGATTCATAGGAAATGAATGTTCAAAGGTTTACACATTGGAAATCAAAAATGAAAAACATTTTGTTTAAGGTCATAAGCTAGTAAATCTCAGCTTCGACAAAAGAATATGGCCGTATCAGTTTTATCAGCGAGTTCTTATTATTGTGGCTTTGAGAATAATTTATAATTATTTGCTATTGACACAAGAAAATATTTGCTGGAAAGAATAAAAAGTTAAAAGCAAAGCAATGTGTGTGTGTGTGTGTGTGTGTGTGTGTGTGTGTGTTTGTGTTTGTGTGGAAAGATAAAGATCTGTATATTCATGGAGCCCAGCTGTGGGTGGAGTGATATTCGGGTACTTTGCTAAGTTCCTAATGAAGTGCAATGATAGAACTGTATAATAAAAAGAGAGCTGAATAACAGGTCTTTAATTATTTTCTATTAATCTTATTCTATCACCACAAATAACAGGTCTTTAATTATTTTCTATTAATCTTATTCTATCACCACTAATAACAGGTCTTTAATTATTTTCTATTAATCTTATTCTATCACCACGAATGTGTGTGTGTGTAAGTGTGTGTGTGTGTGTGTGTGTTATTAGTGTTATATATCAATGAATGTAATAGTATTTGTGAATTTTCTGCTGCTTGTCTTCGGTCCCAAACATTCACCGCATATCTTATATATATATAAATTTAATTCAGTTAGAAATATGATTAATTACCAAACTGTGGAAGGACTACCCAACGCGTTTTATTTCCAAGGGTATAAAATACCAATCAGTAGTACACAGAAGTATAACGAATTAGTTTGTTTTCGATGTGAAATACAAACAAGTAAGATTTAGTAATTTAAGTGGTAATTTTTGCACTAATCACCGTTTATATATAGCGTGTTTGGATAATACATTACGTGGGGCAGGCACTAAATTACTTAATTTTCAATAATGCATACACCTGCAGACAAACATAACAGATAACCTTGCTGCCAACAAAATGTATATTTAATTTGTGTCCTTTGCCCAGGTAAATATACTGTTTTTAGAAAATTAACATTTTACAAAAACAACTTTCAAAATTGGATCAATGTTTGGAGAGTATGAAAGATGTAATAAGAATGGCGCAATTGATGTATATATATATATATATATATATATATATATATATATATATATATATATATATATATATATATATATATATATATATATATATATGTGTGTGTGTATCTTACTTTGAAAAAATTAGAGATCCTGAAGGAAGAATAAGATTAGCATAAAAAACGCTAAAAGTCAACAGAAATTTAATTCACCTGAAAAATGCAACGAGACTACTATAAGTCAAGCAATGTCAAAACTAAATAATTAAAGATATTACAGATGCAATGAAAAGGTAAAACTTAAAAACGAAATTCAAGTTCCACTCAATTTGTACAACTTTTGAAAGATGCCCATCACGTAAAAGACTGCAAACTGTACGAGACACTGAACAATTTAAATAGAAATGCAAACTGTACGAGACAGTGAACAAGTTAAATAGATATGCAAACTGTACGAGATTACGAGGCAGTGAACAAGTTAAATAGAAATGCAAACTGTACGAGACACTGAACAAGTTAAAATAGAAATGAAGTAATCAGAATATTCGTGTGGTTGTTAAGATGTTTATGTTATTTGATAATTTTGATACCCACAATGAAAACTATTAGTGTTCGATACCGACAAAGAACTGTTTTCTGACATTTAAATACATGCAATATATTTGTGTGAGTGTGATTTAGATTTTCAACGTAGTTTTTTTCAGTCATATCGCTACGATGTCTGCAGTGTGGCAGTTTATAGTGATGTCTCGCACTGGGGCATCATGTCGCAGACATGTAGCATGATGTCCCACCCAGTCACATTATCCTGACACCAGGCAGACCGGTCCTAACACAAGCCTCTTAATGCTAAGCGCCAACCTGGTTTTTAAAAAAATGTCTTTGGTATGATTCGGCCGGCGTTCAAACCCACTACCTCCCGCATTCGAGGCGGACGTTCTAACCACTAGGCCACTAGAACGGTGTAATACGGTTGAAAGAATCCCAAGATATATGAATATATGAAGTGTTACAAAGTAACAAAGAAGAAAGTTGGCATTTTATTTGATCCAAACAGGATATAAGAACTTTTCTTACTTTAATGTCAACATCTATCCAATATTTTAGTACAACAGTACTTACGGGGTGAAAAACGAGCTATAATAAAAGGTATGACAGGAAACTTGTTTACTTGTCAACATGGTCATGTAGGCGCATTTATTGTCAACATGGTCATGTAGGCGCATTTACTTAAATTACATTATGCTGTTCTAAAGTCTTGTACAAATACAGCTTAACCAAAATCAATTAAATCCTGATTGTTAATTAAATGTCAATTTAAAAAAGATGCAACGACTTCCAGAGAAGCGATAATGGCATCTATTGACTTTTCATAATGGTGGTCAGTTTCTAAAATGGCTAAGAAATGAGGCCGTCGGTAATACATTAAAAAATAACAGAGTAGTACGAATTTTCTTCAACACACGTATCTTTCATTGTGACATCACAACAAACGATATTCAACACGGTTTGTACAGAATTTCACCTTAAAGAATATCTCCATGTACTTTCATATTGATTTTGTCGTATGTATTTCTCAGGGCGTGATTATAGCGATCTTTCACGGAATGTTTGAGGATCGAAATAGAATAATAATGCTATTTAAAGGTATGTGTAATCAGATTCTGAAAAATGCCACCAATTACTTGGATATAATACTGAATGAATACTTGACATGTATATCTTGTCTTTTAGCTCTGTAAAGCCGCTGTAAATAAGTTTGATTAGTTTAATTTTCCTCTTATTTAAAAAACAGCATATTTTTATAAGATTGTTCTCCTTTCATATCCTTTCCAGTTTAAAACATTTGTTTTCTACATTTTATATTTTTACATTCGTTCTCTTTCTCAAATTTTCCATCTGTTTACCAAACACAACTTTCACAAAAATGTTGGTACGAAAGTACCTTTGTACCAGATATGAAGGAAAATGCTGAATTGCCGAGTACAGCGTTACCGAGGGTTTATAGTATTACTCCTCGTGATTTCAAAAGTACTGCTCTAAGTTCAATCACCGATGCACGCACGAACGGCTGGGGTCTTAATTTCAAGTTCTCTGACCTTGACCTTGGATAACTTATGGTTCTGATTCTCCCTGTATCTTCACGTACATATGAGTCTTTTGAGGAAGTTGTCCACGTTACAGAAACAATCTTCAGCTGTGGGAAGCTGTCGTCAAAGTGTGGGGTTGTGTAACGCGGTTACTGGAGTAAGTGGTGACTTTAGTTCAAGGAACGATATTCGTAGCTTAGTGTAAGAAACTAAATGTTATGGACAACGGGTTAGCGAGATAGGGAGTTTTTTGACGAATTCTTCAAGATAAAACAACATAAACAGTTTTGTACAGGAACAAGAGAGTTACCCGTCCTTGTGCAAGTAAACAATTGCCGCTTGGGATAAAAACGACTTCCTTATCGAAAGGGGATTTAACCTTGAACCTCCCTCCTATATTTAAACATACCGAAAGTCTTCAACACAAGATCTGTAATGGTCGTCGACTTCATACAGACCTATTTCTTTCTGGATATAAGCAATCACAGGGATGTAAAATGCAGAGGGATCTAAAATGCCGGACACATTCCTTGTAAAGAGTATGATTTGCAGATAGACTACCACCGTGTCCTGTGTTTCAATTTATTTATTTATTTATTTTACTTACATGATTTTACTGTCTGAAAGTCTTTAAACTTTTTGTAAGGTGGTGGAGGGGTGGGTGGTTATTGTCAAAGATTTATTTAAATTATTTAAATATGCTTATATAACATACCCAGTTTTAATCTTATATTGTTTTCGAGTTTTATTTACAATTTATTGTTGGCAAGATGACGTTATAGAATAAAAACAACGTGTATATGATGAAGGTAATTTTTGAATTTCAATTTAAACCTTTCTTAAGTATTATGTATATGATGAAGGTAATTTTTGAATTTCATTTTAAACCTTTCTTAAGTATTATGTATATGATGAAGGTAATTTTTGAATTTCAATTTAAACCTTTTTTAAGTATTATGTATATTATGTTATCTGTTTTGTTGCATAATCTTCTCTTATTTTGTAATCGAAATTGAGAATATAAAATGTTTTGTGCTTTTTCAAAGTTATTATTATTATTATTATTATTATTATTAATTATTATTATTATTATTATTATTATTATTATTATTATTATTATTATTATTATTATTATTATTGTATTATTTTATTATTGTATTATTATTATTATTATTATTATTATTATTATTATTATTATTATTATTATTATTATTATTATTATTGGTCCTTTTGCTAATTTGAGATGACGTCAAACTTGACAAATCCTGAATTACACAATGAAGATTTTTTTCTCCCTCATATACGGCATATCGCGTGACTGTCTCTTTCTACAATTAGCATATCACGTGACTGTCTGTATCACAAGTACACATCTTCTAAATTTGTCTACGGCTTTTAATGCATATGTTAAAAAATGTTCATAATCATCAGTCATGTATCAACATTTGGCTTCATTCAAATTTTGTATGGTTATTGTTTTGAGGCCTCTACGGATCATATCTTGGTGGGTTTATCTATGAATTTACAGCATGAAAACATGCATTATCTTCATAACAAACATCAAGACATGCATTTGCATTTTTTTGTTTACTTACGTAAGATTCACCAATCAATAGCCAATATATCTATCCTTCCCCACTGCAATCTTACCAAAACTACAACCAGTCATCCGTTTTGCACCGGCGCAAATGTCTACCCAAGTAATTACACTTTTTAACATATTATTTCGATACACAATTATCTTTAATATCTTTTCATCAGAGCCTCCTTGCAAGTCTACCTGGCTGTAATGTAGATGGCGCTGATCCTCGCCAAGTTGTTTCCTTCCTTTGTTCATAGCTTAGATTTATGAAAGCAAACTGGTTCGATACGTTATAGACACAAGAACCCGCTCGTCATCTTATTTTCGCACAACTTTGTTTTGTTATATCGCTTGTTGTAAATTGTTCCAGGTAATTCTAATATGCTATAAAATGCGTTCCCTTTAAAGAATCTTGGCAGACTTTCGTACGTGTCATCTACTGTTTTTATTTTCTTATTCCATGAGAGTATGGAGCAGATTTCACCTTCAACCTTGGTTCGTATTCAATTATTATCTTGTTTCGGATTATGCCATTACTTGCTTATTGCTAAAGTTAGCACAACGATTTAAAAATAAATCATAAAACGTTTGAGTAGTTGAAACTCTTCATTTAAATTAACTGCAATCTCATAATGAATCCTTATAACGTATACTTACCTTATAATTTTACAGCATGTTTTTCTGTTTTTAATTTTGTGGTGTCTATTTTTATTTTTGTAATCTTATCATTATATTTTTAAAAATTCTTTTTAAGCGTTGTCAAATGCTGTAAAGCGCTTAGAGCTTCTAAAGTTTAGGCGCTATATAAAGACATTATTATTATTATTATTATTATTATTATTATTATTATTATTATTATTATTATTATTATTATTATTATTAAATATGAATTTTCTGTTTTTAATTCCAATTAATATATTATGTAAGTTATATACAAATATTTTTAAAAAATATAATTTGGTTACTTGAGGTCTATAATTAAAATAATTTATACTAAAACCTGTAAATACACACGTTTAGATTTATTTTAACTTTTCCTTGGGAATTGCATAGATCAATCTAAAGACTAAAATTTTTCAATTACTAATGAAATCTATTCTGTCATAAACTTATGATCACTTGTAGGCACCAATCAAAAGTAACAACTGCTTTTAGAGCTATAAATCATAAAACATAAATCTTAAGTCATGGTTTAAGAATATGCCAGAAATCAGAATATACCTTAATACATATATTGGCCGCCATGAACAGTTCATCATGTGCTAAAAAAAATAGTGAAAAACCCCACAACACCAAACTGATCGCAAATTATAGCTTCCTGGAATCCAATATTTAAATTGCTTCCAAATAATCTAATATACATCCGCCAATAGTGCAAGAACGCATCAGAAACACCAGCAAACATACTTCGAAAAAATATAACAATCCTCACAGGACAATTGCAGATTTTATAGCAATGATTTAAGTTGGGTTTCTTGGCTTAGGAGACTTGAGAGTCAAATTCTAAGCCACCTAAATGAAAGTGTAAAAAAAAAACAAAAAACAAAACTGATTCATGGATTTCTTATACTGTAGTTTCAAAAAAATGTCAAACGGGCTATTTTAATAATTTAAAGTATCTTACTACTCTTGATGGTTGATATTTTGTTGATTGCAGCAGTATATTGTGATTTGTTGGGATTGTAATAGTATATGGTTATTAGTTGGAATTGCAATATTATAGCATGATTGGTTGATATTGCCATATTACAGGGTTACTGATATGAATTGCAATCATAAAGTGCCATTGGTTGGGATTGGAAAAATAGTGTTATTGGTTAAAATTGCAATAGTATAGAATGATATCGTGTTATTGGATACAATTGCAATAGTACAGCGTGATTGGTTGGGATTGCAATTATATAGCGTGTTTGGTTGGAATTGCACTAGCATTCTGTTATTGGTTTGGATTGCACTAGTATAAGGTTATTGGATGGGATTGCAATAGTAAAGCGTGATTGGTTGGGATTGCACTAGTATACGGCTATTGGTTGGGATTGCAATAGTAAAACGTGATTGTTTAGGATCACACTAGTATACGGTTATTGGTTGGGATTGCACTAGCATACGGTTATTGGTTGGGATTGCAATAGTATACGGTTATTGGTTGGGATTGCACTAGTATACGGCTATTGGTTGGGATTGCAATAGTATACGGTTATTGGTTGGGATTGCACTAGCATACGGTTATTGGTTGGGATTGCAATAGTATACGGTTATTGGTTGGGATTGCACTAGTATACGGCTATT